TATATATAAATATATATATAATAATGGGGTAAACTTTTTTATAGGATGTCTTCTAGCAGAAATACCGGCTGAACTCTTGTCCAGGGATAAGTAGTTCGAATTCAAGCATAATATTTGTCCACACTAAAAAACCATGACGTGAAAAAAAAAAGATAAAAATTCCAATAAGCTCCACAAGCCTCCTGCTCTGGCATCTTATCAACAGTGCCATTAGAAGAAGGCCATAAATGGAAACATTTATTTTCCTTTGACGGAGCTAAGAAAAATTTAACAGGTATAGGGTTTCCAAAAGTGAAGACCAAGCTTCAATAAGCATATTTGAAAGAAAAAAAAAATCTAGCACAGATTTAAGGAGACATCGACGTAAAGTTAAACAGGATAATTATCTATAAATAATATGTTATAAGCAGCCCATATGCCAACCAAAAAACTGAAGCTTTGGCCCGCACCAAAGTAAAGGTCGAATACCATATTTCCACAAAGGCGCTTAAACTATCAAGAAAAAAATTCACTAATTTAAAGACATGGTTTCAAAAGAAAATTGCATCCCAACTTAAACAAACTAATGTTAATAATAAAATGTTCAAAAAACTATAATGTTTCATATTTCAGTTTCTCCTTTTATCAGGACCACATTTTTAAGGAATTCTATCCCTACTTAACCACGCTTGTGATAATACAAAGAACAGATTTCTAACCCCATATCAGCTCAAGTTTCAATTTATCTTCTAGAAATACGACATGTCCATTGACATCTTCATATTCTCAAAACATGCATAGCACACAATCTCAATAATTCTAAGAAACTCGAGTCCAGAACTTGCATGCTTTCCTGCATGTGTTTTATATTATTTAACTCTTTGCCATGCAAGGTTGGTATCGACATTCAATTAACTAAGCTGAAAAGGGAACAATCATAATTTATTTAGCTCAACATATGATACTGGAGTTAACCCATAGAACAATGAGAAATGCACTTTATTGCTAGAATCAAATAGGAGTTACAACACGCGTACAAAAATAGAAAATAACAAAGATAGCACAGCACAAACACCGAACTAAGGCTTGGGATGATGGTGGCGGTAAGGCAACAGTAGGATGGCTTCGGGTAGGGAAAATAGGTGCTGGAATGGGTGGCAGGGGGCAGCAAACAAGAGAAAGTGGTTGACAGCAAGGGCAGCAGAAGGAAGGGGGGTGTGGTACGGCAGCAAACCGGCAACTGGCCTGTGGTAGTGGTTGGCTGCAGCTGCTGGAGGCTGGACTATGACACAATAGCAAGGTTGAAAACAGGGGGGATCAGCAGGAGGCAGTCTGTTGGTGGACGATAGGGGTTTGCAGCAAAGAGAGGAGTAGGAGGGAAAATTGAGGAGAATGGAAACGTCCAGGATAATCACCACCTCGGACAATATACAACCAGAGCACCACTAAGAAAAACCTGAACATCAACGGCTGTCTTGACAGAAACTGAATCAAAACTTAACCGTGGAACACAAAAACAACATATAAATACTATCAGGTAATTAAGGAGTGGCCTACTTCTTATGGGTGGCAAATTAAGTACCCAAGGGGGCCATTCGACCCCCAAGCCTCCATTCCCTTAATCAGTCCAAGTTGACGCAGGTTGTCTGGCTCAACATTCCATGCCCGTGTCCAAGTGATACCGAAGTTAACCCAAACAACAACGAGAAATGCACTTTATTGCTAGAAATCAAATAGGGGTTACAACACACGCGTACAAAAATAGGAAATAACAAAGATAACACAACACAAATGCCAAACTAGGGCTTAGGACGATGGTGATGGTAAAGCAGCGGTAGGACGCCTGTGGCTAGGGGAAATATGGACTGGAATGGATGGTGGGCGGCATCAAACAAGTGAGGTGATTGGAGGCAAGGGCTGCAAGAGGAAGGGGTCTATCGGGCTGCAAGATGGCAGTAAACTGGAGATTGGCCTGCGGTATTGGAGGAAGGCTGCTGGCCATCGGTTGGCTGCAGCAAGCTGGCAGCTAGACTGTCACAACAAGAAGCTTGGCAGTAGGGAGGATCAGTAGGAGGCAGTCTGCTACTGGGTGACAAGGGGGCAACAAGGAGAAATGGGGGCTGATGACAAGAAGAGGAGAGGGAGGGAGGATTGACGAGGATGGTAATGTTGAGAATAATCACCACCTCAAAAGAGATACAACCGGATCACCACTTGTTGTCAAATACAAACTGAAAAGGAAAAATCTGGACATAGACGACCGACCTGGCAGAAAAATGAATCAATACCTAACCTAGAGCACAAAAAAACAGCATATAAATTCTATTAAGTAACTAAAGACTGACCCACTTTTTATGGGCGACAAGTTAAGCACCTAAGGGGGCCGGTCGACCTCCCCATCCTCCCCCCTTTATTCCCTGAACTAGTCTAAGTTGCTCCATGTTGTCTAGCATAGCATTCCACACGCCCTTCAGCCTCACGGGTTTGGGGGAGCTTCAACCTCATTCGTCGAAGCTTCTGTTTCATTGCACTATGGAGTTAAGTCTACCACGTTGAAGGTAGCAAAAATGTTATACTTCCCTAGTAAATCAACCCTGTAGACGACGTCGTTCAACTTTTTGAGAATATTGTAAGGTTCATCTGCTTTGGCCTTCAATTTCGCAAAGATCTCATGAGAAATCTCTATTCCTTCAACTTAATTCACACTAAATTGTCCTCCTGAAAAGTCGTTTTCTTCCTAGATTTATTAGCTTTTGTCTAGTATTTGCAGTTCTGTCTAGTGATCTCTTTCCCAACCTTTTTGGGTAGCCTCTAAATCTCATGTACCGTGCCTCAACATCCACACTAACTTCCGAAGAAGGAAGATCGGAACTCAAGTGGAGTGAACGGGTTGCGCCCATATGCGATCTCGAAGGGGGTGTATTCTGTAGTTTGGCTCACATACCTGTTGTAGGCAAATTCGGCATTGTTGACCTCAATTTTCGTGAGGTCTAGTATTCCTCGTAGGAGTTAGGATCTAGCCTTAGGGGTCTTCCTGCGACTATCTTAGAACCTTAGAAGTGGTGCCCGCCTCGTTTTAGTTCAACCTATTTCCGTCCTCTTTTGGAGTTTCGCGTGTGCGGTATCGACTTCTAACACTTAGAAGGATGAAACCGACATGAGGAAACCCAAAATG